TAATTATAAATTAAATTAATTACAAATTAATTAATCTGTTAATAATAATTAATGTGTTGTTTTAACTACAATTGTGCTGTGACTACAATGACTTGTAAGCAAGGTATCAAAACATCTTATATCTATTGTATTTGAGTTAATTATTTATTTATTATCAATTTGGGTAAAATTTATTGAATTTTATTTACCTATAAAAATCATTTTATCAATTAAAAGAATTATTTAAAAAGATATTATTAGAAAAATTCATAATTTTTAATTAGTCTGCATATTAAATAAATATATTTATAATGATAAAAATGATAATTATAATTGGATGTAATTTATAAGTATTAATTATATATTGATAATATTTATCATGTTGAAACCCAATTCATCTTGAACCGAATTAATGAGAAATATTAAGATATATAAATAAAGACTTTTGAAAATGTCAAAGTTCTAATTTAAAATTAATGAAAATTAATATTTATTATTATATATAATAAATAAACATAATGAATTAATATATTAAAATTATTAGTTAGTTTAATTGCTTGCTAATAATTTGCTTACAATCATTAAGCTTCCGAAACATATTAAACTTGTTTACAATTTGTTAGTTAGTTTTAGTAGTCAGTTAACAAGCCGTAAATATACCGGCGCTTTAGGTTTTGCTCTGATAACGATTACAATACAAACTCAAAAACCCAATGGAAACGTATAGTAAGAGAGAAACTGAATGTTGAGAATTTTAAATTAAAATATTGTCATATTTTTATTTGAATTTTTGCTTTCGGTTGTGAATTGTTTGAATAGTAATGTATAGGTGTATAGGAAGACAACAGCCTTTGCCATGAAATCGGAGTTCAGATTAACCAAACCTAGAAGTGTTAGGTTTGCCGTATGAGCCAAAAGACCCGCAATCATGAGCTGCAACTAAATCAATGTTCATTTAGTAATGTATTCATTGAACAAATAAAAGTTTGAGTTAAAAAATGGCAAAACCTGTTGAAAATAGACAGCAGTTCTCTCTTCGGGATCAGTTGACAACACGTATTGATAGAGAAGGCTTTTGGTCTGAGCCGAGTCGTCGTTCACGTCAGACGTCTGTTTGAGTGTATAAAACATTGAGAACACCATAAGTATAACAAAAGCCAATGTTATCACAATTTTCAATATATTCTTCTCGTCGTGACTGAAAAGACTCATCACTTCTTGGATTTCGGTTACGATTCCGAAGAATAAGAGCACAAAATAACCGAAAATAAATATATTAAATATTTCATCGATCTTTTTCACTGCACTTAGGTTTGAGCGATACCTGAATTATGAGAGTTATAATTAGTTATTAATAAATACAGTTTAAAAAACGATACAAAAATAGATAATTTACCACAATTTAATGATTTCCAATTGTTTGAGCTCTGGTATGACTTTTCTTTTGATCAAAGTCTCAATATAGAGGTTCAAGTGTTGAAATTTAAACTTCATTATCCAACACAACGCTATGTATAAAACCATTACAAACAACACCACATATAGTGAATACAATGCTATAAAACTAAATATCTTATTCGTCCAAATGGTGTCCGAATGTGTATTAATGGCCACAACAATGACAATAGCGATGTATGAAATGCACAACACTGTCAGCGACAACACGAATATTGTGAGAAACGTGAGCTTCACTTTGTATTTGATTTTAAAGTAATTATAATGCATAAGAATTGTTTGATCCAATTCTGGCATTTTGTCCAAATCGTTGATAAGTGTTCGCAGTGTTTGCCGATAAAACCAAATGAGATCGAGTGCTGAAACACCCGACAAGCTGTACAAGAAGGTGAATATCTCGTCCCATAACTGATGGCTCAGTTCTCCCAATTGAAAGATATGGTAACCGACGCGACACAACCAGAAGCCGCATATCGTATGAATCATACCCACAATCAATATTGAATATATCTAATTAAGTTACACATAGATTTAATTTATAAAATAACTGATCATATTAAATGACAATAATATATTACCTGGATCATTCCATGTCTGCTAAGGTATTTGAATGCTTTATGAGCATCTTTGAGATAATAAGTGATGGGCGCACCGGTCAATGCAAACGGGTATAACACACGCCTAAGTATTGTATAATAACTGAATTCTTTGTTCATATCCTTAATATTGATTGAGAGAACAGATTTGCATTCCTCTTCAGTCTTCTCCTGGTCTTTGTTTAACCACTTCATCGACATTTGATCCGTCGATATATTATTGGCCGACAAATTATTGCCACTCTTTTTCATTATTAATTCAATATAAAAATATCACTTTATTTACACTAAAATTAGTTAATAATATTTAATAATTTTAGACTATATTGCTTAGTCTAAGTGTTATAGAGATATTATAATTTTGATTACTTTATATTAATAATAAATTACCTCGGTAATAATCATCACATAAAGAGAATTACAACTAGTGTTCCCATACAGTATCAATATTTCAATATCTTTGAAAAATGTACTTTTAAGTAATATTGCAATACTTTTGATACAGTTGTATATTGCAACACTAAATATCATATATTTTAATAAGGTAGTATTTTAATACGCGGCACAACCATAGTATGGTTGTGCCGCGCATTTTACAACTTATTATTGTAACTGTATTTGTAACTTATTATTGTTTTACACTAGTCTTTCACCCGATGTGTCTATAAAATGTTCATAAAAAACGTCAATTAAAGCTAAACTAAAATCAATATAAATCGAATACGGTTTCGCTTTTAGATGTAATTCCATTGGGAAAAATCACTTTCACACAAAAGTCTATATTGTGAGTGGGTGTAGTAAAAACGTAATTTGTTTTCACCGATATCTCAGTATCCATATGTGCTATCGCATGGCTGAACACATGAATCGATTGTGTGAACAAATATACATCTAATAGTGAAGAAAACATTGAAAACGGACAAACTTTTTACGCCCAAAATGAGCTCAAAACTAAAGTTTTTAACGACTTTTTAAAAACTTGGGCTAAAAAGTGTTTTTGAAAAAGTGGGACAAAAAGTGATAGAGGGATATTTGTTCGCATGGCCGAGAAGTGTTCAACCCTGCAATATAGTTTACATAGCCTAATTTTTTGGTAAAAAATTAATTAAAACCCGTGCCCTTCGGGCACAAATAAATAGTCATAGGAGGTGATTAATGAGGCCCAAATAATCTCAAGAATGATAAGAATCTATATGATATGTATGACAGGCTTGAGTATGGTTTGAATGTTACTTTAGTTTATTTAGTAGTAATGAGTACAACCATAACATGAACACTTGGTCCAATCATAATCATACCTAAACCGACTTAACCTAACCTGACCTAACCTAACGTAACCTAACCAAAATTAACTTAACCTAATCTAAGTTAAAACACAATAACATATAATATTACTAAGATAAAGTATTATCAATACATTTTATTTTTTATGGATTTCTCGCTCTCGCCGTTTTACTTTCGGTCATTCTCGCACTCTCCCGTATGATTCGCCGTCTCTGTCTAGCGGTCTTAGCCTCGCTGCCTCATTGGATATTGGTTCCTGTCTCGCGGTCTCTGTCTCGCGGTCCCTGTCACGCGGTCGCTCTATCGCGGTC